GAAAAAAGAAAAAAAAAAAAGAAACAAAAGCCCAGATTCTTGTTGCTTCTGAGCTGTTACCTATGTCTGATATCATATCGTACTGATATACATATATATATATACATACAAACATGGAAAAAAAAAATTCAACGGGTACCGATCGGGTACCCGGGTAGGATTTCTAATACCCGGACCCGACCGACCCGGTTTGGGAGCACCGAGTACCCGAACCCGGGAAAAACCCGGTTACGTAAAAAATTACCCGATCCGGTCGGGTAATACCCGACCGGGTCGGGTTATACCCGAATAACCCGACCCGAATGCCCACCCCTAGATGGTACACTTAGTGTGATATTATGGAAGGGTAGTTTGTTACACTATTTAGGTTGTGTTTGCAAAAGTTTTTACAAACAAATTCTGAGTTTGTTTGTTTCCTTATAATCTGTTTGGTGTTCCTAAAATTAGTTTTTGCTTCTATTTTATTTTTAAATACAGTAAAACCTCGATAAATTAATAACTTCACTTAAATAATAGTTTCTTCTGATCTCGACTCGGTAAAAATGAACTAAATTATTAGTTTGATAATTTTAATATTTCACTAAATTAATAGAATTTTACTAGTTCTGACTGTATTAATTAATGGAGGTTTAACTGTAAGTTGTTCTAAAGTATAATTTGAAAAGAAGCTATGTACCTGTTTAAAGAAAAAGCTAAATAAATAGGTTAGGCGAAAGGGGCGAAAGCGTAGACCTAAAAATTGGTTAAAAAGGAAAGGCGAAGAAAGCTAAAAATAGGCATTGAGCGGTGGGAAGTGGGGCTGCAATTCCATCACTATTTATTTATTTATGGGTGTTTGGTTCGGCCCTTAAACGGCTCAATAGGTTAAAAATTCCTATACCAAACTCTTATCTCATGTGGGCCCCACTCGGCCCACTTTCTGTCGTCATTTCTCACCAAACTTATTAACTCTTTTTTTTTTTTTTTCTTTTTTTTTTTTTTTTTTTTTTTTGGTAATGAAGGAACCCGCAGCCAACCATATAGGTGCACTGGGTAAACCTACACTCTCGTATAATAGCTTGCAAACCATACGAGGGATGTAAACCACACTAGGCTAACCATGTGTGACAAGCTCGATCTAGCGACCGTTGGCAAGGGGATTCGAACTTGGGTCAATTGACACAAGCTCTCTTGCTCCAACCGCTAGGCATCCCTTGAGGGACTATTAACTCCTTTTCTCTTATCTTACGACCAGTGCATATCTTTACGCGCTTTGTTCTATTACATAGAGGTGTTCATGAGTCGAGCAGGCTCGTGAGCTTAGTGAGTCGAGCAGGCTCGTGAGCTTAGTGAGTCGACTCGATTAAAGCTCGAATTCGAACTTAGATTTTTCGAGCTCAAGCTCTCTGACGAGTCGAGCCTGAGTTTATTTTATTTTAAGTTGTTACTAAGCCTGGGAACTTTTTTTTTTTATTATTATTATTATTATTATTATTATTATTTTTAAATGTAATTAATAAAAAATAAAAAATAAGAAAATACTAGTCATTTTATTATTTCGATTTTTAATTATAATTTCTAATAATATTAATAAAAAATAAAAAAAAATACACAGAATAGATGCGAACTCGAGCTCGTCAGAAAAGTCAACTCGGCTCGTTTACAGCCCTAGTTCTATACTTGTAATGTGTCGTTATGTTTATATATATCTACAAATTACAGGGTTTGATGTAATAATTAAAACAAAAGAAAAAAAAAAGAAAAGGGGCGGGGCGGGGAGTTTTTAGTAAATAGACCTTACCTCACGGGCCGGTTGTAATTTAGGCTTTGACATTGGAGGTGGGCCCCATCGCCGCAACAGAGAAAATAATGTGCCTACGTCGGGCGGCTACCAACTATATAACGCCCATACAGAGTGGAGTTGGTGGGAGTGACGCTTTGATCTAATTTAATTACCCATAAGGACCTTCGTTTTCCTCTATTCACAGAATTGCCACTTCTTTACATCTTGGCAAATATCGTAATCGTTAGTGGAATTCGTTCACCTATAAATTCTTTGACATGACTTAACTTTCATAATAATTTATAAAAAATAAAAAAAAAGTAAGATGGGAGAGAATATTTTAATAATAGTCAACTTATTTTTGCCACTTAGGAGCCCTAAAGCAAAGGTAACCCAATAATACTATTGGGTGGAGGAGATATGTAGAAATTACTTGATTTAAGACATTTCAATATCACTAGAAATATAATAGATGTTACACTTGATTATTTATTCTGGGTGGATTTCACCCGTAGATCTGATTAAATAACTATTTATTAAACACGCAGATACATGGGTGTGTGTGATCATGTAAAGATGCATTATAGTTGAAAAGCACACAGTATAAATAGCCAAATGTAGTATTTAATTACCGGTCTCGAGCCTATTATGATATAAGCCAAACTTCTATTATTGGTTAAGCCAGTTAAGCCTATTGATTTTCTAAAAAAAAAGTTTAAGCTAAGCCTACTTTGGTCAAAACACATAAAAGTCTTTAAATTTTATAAGTTTATGGAAATTAATGGTTCATTAATACATAAATCTTGCGAAATATCTCATCGTACACATTTATGTATCACACATCTACATGTATATGTGTGATTGTGTAAATTTAGGGTAATAAATTACCTAGTGAGGTTCATCAGTTGACATATTTCAAAATTCGAATTTAAATCAATATGTACGAAGTCCGACCCTAATATTTTTTTCCAAAACAATTTTATTTTATTTTAATTTTGGATAAAAGTAAGTTTTGGTTGGTTGACTATTTTCTATAATATCTCCTATAGAAGAACATATTGGGCAAGTGGTATCTACAACTTGATTCTTGATGAGTTGAAGTTGAATTTTCTCCATTTTTTTAGAATATAACAAATTGAAAATAAAATCCTTGTTAAATCATACATCCTTTATAAAAAATAAAAAAAAAATCAACGTAATCATCTTCCACGTGGTCGTACTAGGGGAAAGGGCACAAAGTTTTGACTTTGTAGAGTTGTTGATTATTTTAATTTTTTTTTTTTAATTTTAAATTCGAATTCAAAAGAATATAAATCGTTAAAATAAAAGTGATTAGTCTGAATTTGGATTAATGGGCCCAAAACTAGAGCCAAGAGGTCCCTGCATGTGGTATTTGTTGGGGTTAGACAATAACAAAAGGAAAAATCAAATTTAGATAGAAAACAATAATTACCCCATTGTTGGAGAGAGAAGTCAATAATTTTATTTATTCATAAATGATGGCCCTTTTAAATATACTAATTTCTTTATCACCCTTGATTGAATCTGCAAGAGAAGGAAAAGTGGAATGGAAATATGTCATCAAAGCTTCTAATTTTTTTCGGAAAAATACATGCTACGCCTGATTTGTTAACAGCAGAGCTATACATAATTTCACACACTCATGCGTACGTGTGCTTAGTAAGTGATTATTTAATCACATCTCCCATTAACAAGTATTCGATGTGTATAATCAGGTGTAACATCTAACGTCCCTAATTTTTCTCCCGAACAACTCATTCAGGGGCAAAAAAGGGGAAAACAAGAAGTAAGGGTGCAAATTGCAATCTTGACAAACCGATCCTCTTTCCATCTTCAAAGGGCCAATGTATTTGAGTTATTGTTCCACAAAATATTACTGGTTTCTCATGAATTATATATATATATATATATATATATATAATAATAATAATAATAATAAATTGGAAGAGATAGGTTACCTACCCACCTCTTCGTCTTCTTTTCTTCTCATCCTCTCACAGCTTATCCGTTCCCTCATTCACATCTTTTGCTAAAGAAGACAAAAACAAGAAAGAAAATGGAATCTAAATTCACAAACAAAAAAGATAAAGCATTCAACACAAAATAGTCTTCCCAATTTCTTTATTCTTTGGGATTTTATTACTTAATATAATAAAATATGATAAATTACACTTAGACGCCACCCCTAAGATAAAATCACGAAAAAACCATCTCATGTTTTGGTAATTACAATTAGCCTTTCAACTATGAATATTCTTACACACTACTATTTTAGTGTCAAACTCAACATAATCTTCAAGATATCGTAGAATGTTTTCTAGTTTGTACTCGTTTTGTGCAAAAATGCAGTTTCTGATGCACCACAATATGATACTTACAAGCCAAAAGATACATACATCTTATGATCATCTTGGTTCGAAATGTGCAGCTCGAATGGGGTAAAACGGGTACAAACTACTGAAGAATATTCCACATAATCTAAAAAATTCAACTAAATTTAACAACGCAAGGATGAAAGTGTTAGAAGATTCATAGTCAAGGGAAATGGTTGTAATTACCCAAACTTGAGGAGGTTTTTTCGTAATTTGATATCACGGTTTCTTTATGTGAATCCCAAGAAAGAAAAATAGTTCGAAAATTAATGAAAATATGGACCACTGGACATGATCATGTTACTTTTGTGTACCAAACAAGAGGAGTTAAACAACCACAAGTTGAATGACTTTCTTTTGTTGATCGATCTTTATTATCTTACAACAACTTTTCTGACAAAAACAGCAATTTTCACTTCAGACATCAATTTGCAAACCATAATTCATTTCTGCAACAATAATAAAGAAAATGCGCAATAAATGGTCATACTTGTGTACTCCTGATATATTGCTATCAAAGATCAAACTTATT